TGCACCCTACGATAGCATCCTGGCCATTTGAATGTTGGGGTACTGATGTTATCGGGCCGATAGATCCGCCGTCATCAGCAGGACACCGCTTCATCTTGGCAGCGACCGACTATTTCTCAAAGTGGGCAGAAGCGGTTCCATTCAAAGAAGTTACATCCGAGCATGTAATCAATTTATTTACCTATAATGTTGTTTACATATTCGGTGTGCCACGCGGCATAATCTCAGATAATGGTACTGCATTCAAAAGTACAAAAAATTATAAGTTCGTTGATCGGCACAAAATCGATTGACGATATTCATCCATATACTATCCAAGAGCAAATGGATTGTCAGAAGCCTTCAACAAGACACTGGTGAAATTGTTGAAGAAAATCCTTACCAAGAACAAAAGAGAATGGAATACGAAAATGGCAGAGGCGTTGTGGGCGTATCGTACAACCTACAAAATGCTAACCAAAGCAACTCCTTACTCCTTGGTGTTCGGAGCTAAAGCTGTACTTCCCCTAGAAGTTGAACTTCCATCCCTTCGAGTTGATATCCAGAATGAGATGACTCAGGAACAAAATGCTCGATTAAAAATGGAAGAGCTCGACGCACTTGATAAATTCAGGTTACAAGCTCAACAAAACTTGAAAATTTACCGAGCAAGGATGACAAAATCTTTTGATCGAATGGTGCGTCATCGATCATTTCAAGAAGGGGAATTGGTCATGGTGCAGAGAAGGCCAATCATCCGGCATAGAAAAATTGGGGGCAAATTCATATCCAACTGGGAAGGACCTTTCGTCATTGAGAAGATGTATCAAGGAGGAGCTTATCAACTCATCGATCTGAATGGTCAGAGGCTTATGCCGCCGATCAATGGCCGATACTTGAAGAAATACTATGCATGAAATTGCCCCAAAAAATGTTATGCTTAATGAGTTATATTTTCGTACCTCCTGTGTTATGAGAATGTATTTCAAAATTTCCCATCAGACTGGGGGCATTTTAAATATTTATTCGGGTCGACATCGTGCTGCGTGCCGAGATTCCCAAATAAATATTTAAAATTTTAAAATATCCAAAGATATTCTGCTCTAAAATGTCCCTGCAAGACATGGGGCATTTTAAATATTTATTCGGGTAGACATCACGCCGCATGCCGAGATCCCCGAATAAATATTTAAAATCATCAATTCAAATATTACTTTGTGCTAAAGAATATAGATGCTTCTTTTTCAAAGTATATGCAGGTGATCTCTCAAAGATCGAGACACAACCTTCTCCAACAAATTAAGGTTCAAAAGTCAAGAAAGAGACTTTTGTGAGTAAACGCTCCTACAAAATTGAGCCGAAGAAGCTTAAAGTCTTTTCGACAGCCTGAAGCTTAAGATTCGAATGGGTGTAAGAGGTCGGATCCAACAAGCCCAAATATGGCTGGATCGCTGGAAGCTCTGTCTATTTAACAAGCCATAAGAAAGACCGTAGTAGCGGAACCCCCACTTTGTCAAATCGTTAGTATGGACTGTAGGAAGAACGAAGGCCAATTTGACTTGACCAGTTCAAGTGATCGTAGTCTACAAAATTCTCCTAAATGACTGGAGAATCAAAGTTCCAGTAGAAG